CACTTTCTTGCTGTGAGACATCCCCAGCATCAGGTAGAGGGCAGATCTTGTCGTCTGCTGAGCCCAGATAAGCTGGCTTCAGCCTGCCAGGTAGTCCAGAACAAATTCCCCTTCCTCTTATTTCCCTCCAAAAATTACTGTTTTCTGCAGCATTATCACGGGGTCCCCCTTCTGTCCCTGCTTCCCCCTTTATCAGCCCTCACCCTCACTGATGTTTACTGTAGGTCCTATACGACCAGGTGCTGATGTACTCCTGCTCTCCTATAAAGACAACATCTCTCTCAACTCCCTGAGAGAACGAGAGCGGGCATTTAACTCGTGTACGTTTCAGCTGACCGGTTTTGACAGTGCAATCTTGGAAAGATAAAGGAACAGGAAAGCTGACATTAACTCCTAAGCAGATATCTGTAATGCAACAAGGCGAGTTGCTGGGGAGCGAACGTGTGGAGGGCTCTGGGTTAGGGAGAAGAAAAGCAGGGCTATGGACAATAGCAACCCCACAGAAGAGATCTGGGGCTAAGGAGCATGATTGACACCGAGGATGGTAAATTAACAGGTCGCCTCATGGCCCCTTGCTCCCTCAAGGCTAACCTCACCAAGCTGGGCCTCCACAGCCAGCACTGTCATCAAGGACTCAAATTTTCTTACTGGCACAGCAAACTGGAGGGCCAGACAGCTTGGGTTTGCCTTTGACATAAAAATAATAGAAGTAGCATTAAGCATATGACAGTTACAAGAAGTCAGTGACAGCAATTTGAAGAATTTGTGCCCCTGAAAGACGCAGCGAGATGTCTGGCAGCTGGAGGCCTGGCGGTTGAGATGATGCAGACACAAGGCCGGGACCTGTAATCCCAAGCAGCCGGGCTACTTTATTTTGCTTATTCGCATAAATACTTGTGAAATCTACAGGAGATCTATGGATTCTTTAGCTGATAATATCTCCTTCCTGGCCTCCTTCATCTCTCTACTCGCGGAAAGGAAAAATGTCCTAAATTTCCTGATTGGGTTTCAGACACTTCTGACTGCCACTGTACTGTGAGGCTGTGGCTCTCAGAGTATGTGCCCAGTGCCCAGTATCATTTTCATGATAATGAGTTAATTTCTGTCCAGACATCATGAGTGTGCTTGCCCATTCTCCTTCCCAAAGAATTTCATTATTATTATTATTATTTAAATGCTCATGTCCTTTGAAAGTGGTTTAAATCTTCTACTATTAATGACATAGCATTTTGAAATTGTATTTGAACAGTGAAGAGGGGACCAACACTGACAGAGGTAGCCAAGTTGGAGATTAGTGGAGAAAAACAAACAAACAAACAAGTACTAAAACTGGGATTTCTGTTGAATCCAACTTAGATCTGTTCAAAATATCCTAACAATGAGAGACTGAACCACTGCTTGGAAAAGACTGATTTTCAGAGCCCACCACTGCCTTCTTCAGAGCTAGCAACATAAAATAGAGACCCCAAGAGGACTGAGGAATCAGTAATAGCAGCAAGAAGGGGAGCTGAAAAAAAAAACACAAGGGTACCAGACATCCTGATAAGGATTTCCACTTGTTTTCGCCATGGTAATTTGGTTAGAGAGAGGAACAAGGCCCCAAGCAGAGCTGAGGAGGACAGTTTAGAATAAAGCACATTCCTGAATATGTAGTGATTGTAAGAAGTTATTTTATTCCAATAAGCTAGCTGGAATTAGTATTATTCCTTTTCATTTGTACTTATTTATCATAATTTTGTATTATTTGGAATAATAATGATAGTTATTTCTTATCCAAAACTGAAAAAAAACAACACCAGACTTCATCTGTTTGGAGGACACTGGCCACTGAGCCAAGGGAAGAATTCCTGCTACAACTAACCCGTTTTAAGGATGTAAATCACTGACAGTACTTATAGAGATGTTAGTTATCTGCATTATCATGATTGCCACAAAGGTATAATTGCCAATGTCCTGTGCTCTTCACCTTCACTTTTCTAGTATTTTTTGCCCATGTGCTGGGGCATAAAAATATCCTCAAATCTACTAATGCGTTTTTTCAGAGGTGGTTTCCATTGTGATCCCTCTTCCCATTTATTGTAGTCATCTCTCCAGGAAATAAAACTTCTCCTTAAATGTAACTGTTTCTGCATACAGAAATTATTTAGTAATGACCTCACATAAAATAATAGGAGCAAAACAAAACAAAACAAAACAACAACAAAAGAACAACAACAACAACAACAAAACAACAAAAGCAAAGCAAAAGAAAACAAAACAAAACCAAAACAAACAAACAAACAAACAAACAAAACAAACAAACAAAAACAAAACAAAACAAAACAAAACAAAAAAAACAGAAATTGGGAATTAACAAGACGTAGAAAAATCCCCTGCTGTATCCTTTGCTTTTTATGCTGGATCATACATCTTGACCCTCATCTTAGCATTTCTGTGTCCTCCTAACACTCCAGCACACGTGCAGGATTGCTTTCATGACTGATCCTATTGATCTGGGTCTGGCTAGACGTATGAGTAAACTTGTGTGTTAATACAGGGCTTTGCAGGCTCAGAAACTCTCCATCCCAACTTCATCCTCACAGTCCTCCACAAAGACCCTCCAATTCCAGCAGCCTTTGCTTACAGACAGATAAACAGAGCAGGGAACCGAGGGATGTGAATTGGCCTGGAGTCAGGGCAAGGAAGCCTTGTTTTATTCTGAGCTTCTCGAGTCTGGTCTCCTCGTTCCCTTTCTGATTATGGCTCTCCGCTCAGTGAAAGCCCTGCCAGAACGTCCCAAGCGTCGGCTGCATTTTAGAGCAAGTATTTGAGGCTATGAAAAATGCAAGGTAGTCAGTGTATCTGTTATGAAGTGTTTTGTAATACATTCACATGAAAAACGCTCGTGAATTTTAGTAAAAAATGATATACAGTGTCTGAATTTTGTCTTGAATCAGTCAGTTTGTGGGTCTAGGAGAACTGTTTTCATCATGTGGAAAAAGGAAATCCTGTGAAATATATTAAAATCCAGATGCAAGGGTTTTTTGTTATTATTATTTTTATTATTTTTATCAGGTTTGCCAAAATACCAGCGAGGTTATGGAACTAATAAACTAAATCCTATGCTCATGTGACTCAATTGCCTCTAGTCTGAAGATAAGTCTGACTTAAAGATTCAAATATATGGAGTGTTTGTACAGTAGATGTGAAATGAGTATATCTAAGCATTAAATCACCAGTAAGTGTTATCCATCTGCTAAGTATATTAATGTACTGCATCATGTATGCTGTACTTTAATGTGCTTATATTAAATTTAAAGTGGCAGGAGGCAATCTATTTGGATATTTGAAAATGAAATGCTTTTCCCTTTTTTTTTTTTTTTTTTCTTCCAAAACAGTTAAATGTTCTGGTTTTCTGGTGGTCCTGTGCCATCTTGGCAGGTAAGACGAGCAGCTCTTTGGGAAATCCTGTACTGCGTAACATGTAAGGCAGCTGAGCAGCACGGCAAGTCACAGAAGTGCTGGATTCCACTTCCACCTCACGTCTTACCTACATAGGTTGACAAAGGTGGAAGAAAAACTCCAAAAAAATAGGGCACTCCAAAAATTAGGGCACAAGAGGCACAGAGGGTGAACTGGGCAGGAACAAGAGGAATGGAAGATGTGTCTGACTGAAACTACAGTTCATGTCAACATGCAGTGAATAATGTAAAGGTGCAGCTTGGAAGCAGGAACATTTGGAACAGAGATTTCAGGTCTGTTCTGGAGCGTGCATGATGGCTGGTGACTCTTGGAGCCCGTATCCTCATCTGTGTCACCTCAGCTCAAATGCTGAGTCCCAGACTCTGCTTTCTACTTGTCCTTACCCTGTACCTCCTGCTGTTCTTGACCGTTTATACAAAACATTTTATAAGCAGAACATGACCTGTCATTTCGGCAGAGGAAGGCTTACTTTTGGCCTAATTCTAATGGCAAGTTTATGTTGTATCTGGTAAAGAAATCCAGTCGCGGATCGCGGGTTGGTCAGCCAGAACGTGACCTGCTGTAGACATAGAAATATGGGAAGAACTCCAGACGCTCGTCCTGTCTGGTGGAAAATCCTTATCTGCAGGCACCGTGCACGTCTTCAAACGTGGAGCCGTGCCCTGCAAACAGCAGCATCTTGCGTCAGCACCTCCATCCCAGCCGCGCTTGGGATCTGCTGGAAGGCAGCGCATGGAGATGGGGATCTTCAAACGGGAGTGCTCCTCTGCGTCGGGGAGCAGGGTTGCCTCAGCTCTGCCTTCACCAGCACCTCAGGAGGCTGCAATTAAAACCCCTTCCTATCTTCTGCTGCTCTTCCAGGCAGGCTGCTGTGGCTCTGCGGGCTCTGGTGCTCCGCGTGTGCGTGCTCTCAGCCCGCTTGGTGCATCTGTGGCACTGCTCCACCTCAGCTGCCAGGCACAAACGTGGCCTTCTGAGCATTTCAAGAGTTTTGGAACCTGGATTTAGGTGGCATATCGGCTTAACCGTGACCAGGAGCATCCAAGTGGTACAGTTCCTGCCTACCAGCAGTTAGAGGCGAACTGTTTTTACTGTTTTACTCCTGGAGTAGGGGTTTGACTCTGGATATCCAGTTATTCTCAGTGATTCAAAACCACTAAATCTTCATTGATAAAAAGCAAAAAAAAATACTATTTTTTTTTAAAGGGGGGAAAAAGGGATATCATCTCTTTCATTGCCCAGTTAGCATTCTCAAGAGCGCTACAGAAGTCTGTTTTCAATCTCAGCCACGATCCCAAATAGATGCCTTTGGCACCATCATGGCTGCGAAATAAGAAGCAGGCTCCCTGGCACCGAAGGCGCGCATGTCCCGGATTCCCTCTGCCTCCGGCTTGCGAGGAGGCAGCAAAAGCAGCGAGGCTGAGCCTTGGCATCCTTATTTTATTTTTTATTTATTTATTTATTTTTTATTTATTTCTCCCCTCCCGTTTATCGCCTTCAGGCGGTGTAAGCGCACTGCACAGCTGCTGCTCGTCCACTGGATGGTACCAAGCCCCCGAGCACCGCCGGGCACCGCGGACTGAGCTCGGCGCGGGGCTGATGCGGGGTGGCCCCGGGGGCTAGCGGGCTGCTCGCCTTGGAAGCCCGGCGGAGGCCACCCTCGGCCAGCGCTGGCTTGCCACCGCGGGGGCGCGCCACCTCGGGGGCGCGCCGCGCATACATTATGCAAAACGCCCCCCGCCCAGGTGAATAAATTATGCTAACGAAGAAGGGGAGGGGAAAAAGAGGGGAGGGGGCTTCCCCGCCCCGGGGAGCCCGCAGGCAGGTGGGGAGAGGGGGGGAGCAACAAGTCCGGCGGCCCTGGGAGGGAGTAGAGGGAAGAAGGAGGGGGAGTAGAGGGAGGAAGGAGGGGGAGAGGGAGGAAGAGGAGCAGCGGGGGGGGGCTTCCCTCCCGCCCCAAACCCCTCTGACAAGTGGCCCGGCGGCCGCAGAGCGCTCCCAGCACCGGGCGGGCGGCAGCCGCGGGGGCTCGACCCGCTCCGGAGCCTGCGACCCCCGGGGGGCTGCGGGGGGAGCCCCCTCCGAGTGCGACAGCCCGTTTTTTGTGGTTTTATTTTTTTTTTTTAATTTTTATTTATTTTTTTTTCGCCTTGATTCTTGCCGTCCCGCCTTCCCGTTATTTCGTTTCCCCGCCGTTTATTATCACCACCACCACCATCATCATCGTCATTATTCTTATCGCTCTTTTCGTTTTGTTGCCGCTGTTTGCAAACTACTCGCCTCCATGGGGGGCGGAGGGAAGGAAATAAAAGCTGCCGCAGCTGAAGGGTGCGAAAGCATGCGGGGGAAGAGCCGGGGAGCCGCAGGACGGGATGGCAGCGAGCGGCCGGGCTGCTCCGGGGAGCGCTGCCCGCGGCCGTGCGGCTCGGGGCTGGCCGCCCTCCTCTCGGCGCTGGCGGCCGCATCCTGCCTCTACCTGGGGGTGCGGACCAGCGACCTCCAGGCCAGGCTGGAGGCCATCGAGGGAGCCCGAGGGGGGTCGTCGGCCGCCGCCGCTCCGCTCCCGCCGCTGCCCGGCTTTTCCCTGGAGCAGCTGAACGCGATGATGCAGGAGAAAGTGGAGCGGCTCCTCGCCCAGGTGTGTGGGACGGGACGGGACCAGGCGGGGGATGCTCCGGGAGGGGGTGCTGAGAGCCCCTCTGGGGTCAGGGGAGGCCGGTGGGGCAGCTCCGAGGGTGGCAAGGGGAGTGGGAGAGAGAAAGGGATGGGATGAGGATGGGGGAGAGCGGTGATGGGGGGCTTGGGGGGGCGACCATTGAGGTTGGGAGACTTGGGTGGTGGCCATTGATAGGGGATCAGGGGGCTCACAGGGTGGCCGTCACGCTGGAAAGCCCCAAGGGTTTTCTTCCTGTGAGTCCCTGTGCTTATCCCCTGTGTCTGTAATAAAAACGCAATAAAAAAGTACGGGGGTGCTCACGGAGGGGGTGGTGGAGGTGGGAGAGAGCTGGTGGGTTTCTTTCAGCAGTTGTAGGGGTGGAGGGGTCAGGGATGGAGGCTGGGTCGAGTCCGAGTGAAGGAGCCCCAGCTGGTTGTGCAGCCCGCGAGCGAGTTGTGAGTCGCGGTTTGCAGGCACGCGGGTCTGCAACGCTTGGCCAAGCCCGCTGTGTCCCCTCACACTGCTTCTCTCACCCACAGAAGTCCTACGAGCACTTGGCAAAAATACGAGTCGCGAGAGAAGTGCCTCCAGAATGCAGCTGCCCACCAGGTAACAGGCACAGCCTGCAAACCTCTCCCCTCGCAGGCTCGTAATCCTGGGGGTTTGCGTCCCGCGTGTTTCAGATACACTTCAGTCAGGTCAAGGGGATGATTCTTCAGTCAGCACCTACGCATTGGGTGGGAAAGGTGTGAAGCCCAGAACTGTATTGCGTTTCCATTGTGGCACTGGGTAGGATAAACATGAGTTAAAAATCCAGAGCCAGGTTGGAAGATGCCGAGCAATAACACTTGTGAAGAAGTTAACAATCCACCCTAGCAAGAAGAAATACACCCGATCTTAAACGGGGTAGTACTGAATCAAGGCATTGAGTGCTCGGTTTAGGAAGTCAAACAAAAATTCCTAGTGAAAATTTATAACAAGGATTAAAATAAGCAGAGAATGCATCGCAAGTCAGCAGTGAGTACATACAAGAGCTTTTTCAGTGGTGCCTTGTTTTCCTGGAGCAGCAGATGAAAGCAGTTCCCCTCGGAAGGGATGGCAGGTTTCACACCGAGGATTCAGATCTGCATTTGTTTATGCCACTGGTGATGTTGCTTGACTTTGGAAATGGGGATTTCCACTTTTGGGATCAGTTGTTTGTGTGCACACAGTGACGTTGTCTGTGTTTTTGGTGGTGCTTTTTGACAGTCTGACCGTCAACATTGTGCTAGATTTATAAACATCTGATGACATGTACCCAAGTTCAAACGACATCTTAAAAGCAAAGAAAATGATGCTAATGTTTCACGGGGTGACGTAGGAATTCCAGCATCCTCTGTGTGATGAAGCACGATGCACACACAGTGTGTTTTACGTACCCTCACATCCCATATGGAGAAAAGAGCACGTTACCTTTACAGGTAGAGTAGCGATGATCAGCAAGAGCTGAGCTGCTGGTAATGTTTGCCAGTAGAGCTATGAGCTTAAGTAAGGCTCTCTTTTGGTTAGGGGTGTAAGCCCTGCCAAGCTTGTTGGTCTGAAGGAGCTACTGAACTTCATTGTGCAGTATTTTATGTACAATGTGCAGTATCACAGTGTTATGCTGATATTACAACTGAGAACAGAATTTCTTACTGGCTGCTATAGGAGTTACTGTGGCTAGTATGAAAAGAATAATGTACACGACAGACTATTGTAAAGGAACGCGTAGATTTGCTCAGCTCTTGGCTAGTTTTGATAAGAAACTTTGGTTTACTGCTGTACTATATATACGTATATTTACCTCCTTTAAGACTGACGTGAGTGTACGGTGTTGATTTTATTTTTTCTGTTGCTTAACTGCAATAATTACAGGGTTGAAGCTTGTGCATTAAAAATGGGGATTGCTCATCGCGTCGCATGCAGAGATGTTCTCTGTGAGGCCAAAATGCTGCTGAATCTGATTCCAAGCAGTCTCGCTTTGTTCTCCTTGTTTAGATCCGTTTGTTTTGTTTTCACTTACTGTTTTCAGACTAAAGGTCAGTACCTACTGTTTCACAGTTGTGTTATGTGGTGCTTTACTTCCCCACTACCACTAGAGCTCCACATTATACCAATTTTTACCTGTCCTTTATTATTAAGAAGTATGTTTTATCAAATAGATGATCATCAGCAGGATATCTTCCATGTGCATTGCAGAAATACTCAGGTAGAAGTCAGAATAAAGTGAGCTGGGAAATATCTTCAAGGGAGTAAGATTCATTAGATAAGAAAACTTCTATGAACAGTTTTTATTTATTTATTTATTTTTTCCACAGAGGAGATTGGCTGTTATGGGGATTAGGAATGTGATACAGAGCTTTTCACCCCCTGGGTAGCTATTTCAGTTTGGAAGCAAGTTTTATAGTGACTGGAAGGTATCGCCATGCGATAGCCTCATTTTGGACAGCTTAAAATGCGTTGATGCTCTCGTGCTTGTTGCCAGTGGACAGGTGTCTACATCAAAATGGCATCATCCTGGGAGCTGTGTCTGAGAGAAAAAGAGCAGAGCGGCCCCACCACCAGGGTACGGGGCTTTCCTGATGGCAGGTACTAGGCAGAGCAGGAGAGGACGGAGCAAATAAATTGTTGTTCCTTCATTTGGTTCAGTTTGTTGGGCTTGCTTTTAGGCTGGACACGATGTGCTTTTATTTTTATCCCTAATGCTGCTGTTACAAATCTGGATGGCTATGTTCAGAAAGGCATTTGGTTTAATAGGAAAAGAATCATGGAAACTCTCTCTTTTTTTTCTGTTGTCTGCTATTTGCGACGCCAAAGAGTAAATTACCTCTCTGCTTCACCACATAGCTCCATTTTTGGTGCTTTATTCTGCTCAGATAGTGTATTTCTTGTCTGGGTTTACATAATAATACAATATATGTCTGTTAGAGATGGCTTTGGAAAGCCTTCATGGTCCACAGGGAATTCTTGAATGATCCCTATGCTGCAAGAAAAAGGCTGCTGCCACGTGGCTACCAAAGAAGTTTCCATCATTCTGTTCTCTAAAGAGAAATAAAGACTATTTAAAAATAAGTTCCTTTGCCCTCTACAAAAAGAAGAGAGAGAAGTTCGGGTTGTGGGTGGAAGGGTGAGAATGTGGTCTCTGATTTAGGGTTAAAATTATGCAACTGATGTAGATCTCAGTAGCTTGAGATGTTCATCCCCTCGTGGATCTTCATGGTAGGAACTGCACGTTCAAAGGAAACTGGGTTTGAGTGGCTTGGATGCTGAAGGCAGCCAGATTCACAGCTGCTTATAACTTGCAGAGCTATCCACATGTAGCTCCCTGTAACTCCACAGTAGTCTTCAACGTTGTCTAGACTGCAGAGGAGTTACATTTCTCAGATTTTAAAAACTTGGTTTTCACTAAGTGAGTTTTCTAATTATTGTTTGTTTTCTTTTACAAGCCACACAATGTAAGGAGATGTTGAGTTTTGATTTTAATTCTGTAGGACTAAAACCAGATACCAAAGATTTTGTAAATATTTTTAAATGACAATAGCAGGCATTCTTTCTCTTAAAGCAGAGTAATAAAGTTTGAAATGTAAATGCATGCTGACATTCCTCTTAAATTACCTCAGCTCTAACAAGAGTGCTGCAGTCACTGCTGGCAGCTAGTCCTCCGCACATAGGACTAGGGGTGAACTGAGTGGCTAAAATAACTTTAAGCTTAAACCTGGGAAACAAAGGAAAATGAATATATTCTTAATTATTTCAATTTAATGTTTCCCAACCACAACTGATGAACAGAAAAGTAGGTGTGTAGGTAACTATTTCATATTTTTCAATCTTTAAATGGCTCCAGTGGCACAACCAGCTGTTCCAAGGCACGGTGCTGGATACTTACTGCCAAGTGCCAGGATTTGTACTGTTGTGGAAGGAGTAACGCTTGCAGATGACACAGGGCTACTCCTGATGCAGTGGAGTTACGGGAAATTGTTAACTCTTAGTAGATTTAGACTCTTTTCTTCCAAACAGAACTCAAGTGCACACACAGCTTATGTTGAAGCCTATGGGTCCTAAGCACATGCTCGCGTGTCTTGGTGGATTGAGCCTTTCTGTGCCATATAGATCAGGTCCTTTGAACTTGTGCTCATGTGCCACACTGTCTCACTCTGTAAGCAGCCTTCAGTGAGCTCACGTGTGTGGTATGGTGAGGTTGGCAGGTGTACGACTGAGGTCTGTTGGTGCAGAAGGCTCAGGCTTGGTAAGTGGTAAAGCGAGCAGTTAATTGTGTGGTTCAGTAAGTAAGCTTCTGTTAATTTCACTGAAATTGAGCTGTAGGACTGGGTGACCATTGCTTAAGAAAAAACATGATTTGGCCTATAACATTTTGAGAAAGCCTGTGAAAGAATGAAAGGAAGACTTTTATCCATAAATATTTCGTTAATGTTTTCAGAAGTGTTAAACTAATTTCTCTTTTCCTTTCCTGTCTCTTTTTTTTTTTTTTTTTTAGCAGAGGATTAATTTTTTGTTGCTTCTGGGGAAAAAATGTTACAATAAAGTCCCCCCCTACCCCACTTTGCTTTTTTTTTTTTTAAGTGCCTATATGCCATGCATCTCTTTAATTGTGCATTGGTTGCATAATATGATAGATAGTCTTTAACTACTGTGACACGCTATGTACTCAGTATAGCTTGCACATAAAATGACGGCAGTTTTTTCTTCATTTCTTCCACAGAGCATAAGCTGGACTTCACTGAGGGATACTTGGCAAAGTTGATGACTTTTCTTTTTTAACTTGTAATTTATTTTTGTTTTTCTTCTTTGCCACAGACAATGTTTACATTCCTTTGCTCTTTCTCTGGTATTTTCCCCCATCAAGAAATCTGTGTTTATTTTCCCTTTGTGTTCAAATACCTGTTGCTCCAAACCTTTTCCAGACATGGACACTGTCATTGTTCTTCTTTCCTAGCCAGCTATTTTGTGCTGTTATGGTAATCATGTCATTCTGATTCTCCATCTCAAGGCTCTTTTAAGACTGTGTTTTGGCATTTGATGTACCTTCTCCTTCGCTGTGCAATTTGCTTTGATTTGGTTATAAAGCTTGTTTCAGGCTAGTTGAGTGTATATAGACTTGGTTTATATCAGATCATCATCAGATGAAACACCATAAGCCCAGTTTTTTCATGGATGCAATACCAGTTGGTCTTCCTTCGGTTACAGTAAATCTAGTAGGAAAACTGTGTTCTACAGTGATAGTTCTTCAAGATGATGTGTATGCTGTGTGTATTTTGATAGCAGCATGGATGGCAAAAATTAATTCATTTTCTTAGCATCCCAATTTGCTTTTGTCCTTCTAAGCACCTTCTAAGATTTGTTTTGACATGTGGTGGAGATAGATGAACAGACTATACAATTTAGGCGCTCTTTGTTATTTCCCTGTGTTCCAGAAAGACTGTTTCCTGGAGCATTTTGATTAGTGAGGCTGAGAGAATGGAGGAGAAATCAATTTGGTGGATTAAAAGAATCCAGAAATTATTATCAGCAGGGTATTACTTTTGTTTGTTACAATTACAGGGAAGTATTTTTGTAAGACCAAAGAGGTAAAG